AGAACAACATATGACAGGTTTTCTGGAATGTTTGCTTCCCATTCATCTAGAACTCCATAGCCAGGTAAGTCTGTCCATAGACCCCATGGGAACTTCTGTCTCAGTTCTGGACAGTCCCTAAGGGACGAGGAGTGGACTCCTCTGAAATATTCTCAGTGAACACTTTGATGGCAGTAATACAGCTTTCTGATAAAATATTTTCTACACATACTCTTAGAAAGCTTGGCACACTGGTAATGAAGATTGCTTCCTTAAAGGCCAAGGTAAAACACAAATGTTCTGTGTCCCAATTTCAACTTGAACGATGTAACAAGCAAGAAGAGGTATGAGCAGAAAAAAGCATTAGAGTTGAGTCTGAACAGGCAAGAAGAGGAGGGAGTGGGGCCTGGGAGGACAGGCTGGAGCCCACACAGCAGGTGGGTCAGGAAAGACGGCTTAGCCGAGACTTTCCACCAACCTGCTGGCTGTGCCCATGGGACTCCTTCCCTTTGCAGAGCAGCTGCCCCGCTCCTGGCGCAGCATCACCGTGCATGTGCGGACGGCTCTAGAAAACCTAGACACTTGCGCACCTACCAAATTTATATTCACCCACAGTCAGTCTGATCTTTTCAAAAGTTCCTTCTAGCTATACTTGCTACTATAATTATGTAACTTAATGAAATAATCTTTAAATGAGAGAAAAGTGAAAAGAGTGGTTTCCCTGGAAACTAACTATTTTGGGAAGAATCAATACAGAAGATGAATCAAGTATGGACTAGACAATTTTAAAAGACCAGGAGAAAAATCTAGAAGCGTTCTGTATTTAGATTGATTTGAGTGACTAAATTCTAACCTCACTTGAAAAACCAAACCTGGAAATGTGTTTACATAAGAAAGACAATGGTAAGGTTTCATTAGTAGACCTGGCCTCAGATTAGGACACTGGTAAATGAATGTCTATGTTGTAAATTAAAATGTTTAAGCTATGCCTGTGCCATTTAAAAATAATTCTTCATACACATTAAGCCACTTTTTCAATCAGCTTAAACAAATGCCATCAGATAAAAGGACTTTTGATATACCTATTACTTTTAGTTCTTTAAGAGGTACTGTAATATTTTGTTTCCTGACTTAGATGCTGATAACATGGGGTTGGTACAGCTTGTGAAAATTCACTGAGCTGTAAACTAATGATATGTGCAACTGTCTGCATACTGTACTTTAATAAACAGAAAGTTTAAAAAGTCACACAGGTATATTATTTCTTTCCATAAATTAGCACTACCACTGTGCTTACCAGGATCCAGAGCCCTGTGAAACGGCATGGCTGGATCCAGGTGTGTGGGAAGATGGCTCCTATACACCTCTCCTGTGGTGCTGCCCCGATGATGGGGATCAAAAGGACTGTGGCTCACTACGGGGTCCACCCCAGGCACTGGAGACTTCGCTGGAATGCTTTCCCTCTGGGTAGGGGTCAGTGTCGATTTTCTTTCATGATTGATAGATTTGCTAGAAGAAAGCGTAACTGGAAAAAAGAGTCAACATCACAAATTCTTAAGAAAACTTGCTGAGTATGATATTTAACCCTTTCTCAACCAATCAAATACAGACTACAGTCATATAATTTTGATCTTCCCTGTCCACTAAACATGCAACATCCAATCTCGCAAAATATGTAAATGTGAAGAACTAGCAGAAGATTTTGAGGTTTGCAGTTTACAAAATGCCACATGTGGGTGCGCATGTACAGTGCGATTGAAACTTTATGGCCCATGCGCAGAAGTCTGTATTTTGTGGAAGAGCCACACTCAAGGGGCCAAAGAGCCGCATGTGGCTCACGAGCCGTGGTTTGCCGATCTGCAGTTTGCCGACCACTGGTCTAGGGAAAACCTCTATATACAGTATAGAGGTACTAGCCTTGGTTTCAGGCATCCACTGGGGGTTTTGGAACATATTCCTTGCAGGTAAGGGGGAACCACTGTACTATTTTTCTTTGCTCTGTACTTGCAAAAGACTTTCTCATTACCACACCAACCTCCATCACCCCCCTACTCTAGCTTCTTCTTGTAGAAATGTTATTCAGAGAGGTTAGAGGATCCCATAAATGCTTATTATATGCAAACACTTATTGGCCATCACCCTCAATTGTTTTAATAACATAGCAAAACACTGTGATAGGTGATTTATAAGAAATATATATGTGGTCTTCATGCGTAGTTCTTAATTCATAGCTCCCAAACCCTTCGAATTTCCTAAGTATTAGAGGGACAAAGTTGTCTTTTTAAAAAAATATATTTTACTGATTTTTTACAGAGAGGAAGGGAGAGAGACAGAGAGTTAGAAACATCGATCAGCTGCCTCCTGCACATCCCCCACTGGGGATGTGCCCGCAACCAAGGTACATGCCCCTGACCGGAATTGAACCTGGGACCCCTCAGTCCGCAGGCCGGTGCTCTATCCACTGAGCCAAACTGGTTTTGGCCAAAGGTGTCTTGTTATGTTATGAGGTGGTGACTTCAAAGCACCCAGGAGAAGGGGATGACGGGCAGGAGAACCAATCACGTGACTGGAGAGTTGGAACTTTCAGCCCTACTCCCTGACCTCCAGGGAGGCTGAAGGGTAAATCCAATTGTCAATGGCCAGTGATTTAATCAATCGTGCCTACAGAATAAAGCGTTCATAAAAAAGCTAAAGGACTGCCTTCAGAAAGCTTCCAGGTTGGTGGGCAATGGAGGTGCTGGGAGAGAGGCATGGAAGCGCCACACTCCTTATCACATACTTTGCCTATGCATCTCTTCCATTTGGTGGTCTGGTACCTAATGTTTCTCTGACTTCTGTGAGTTTTAGAAATTAACTGAGCCCAAGAAGGGGGCTGTGGGAACCTCTGATTTATTGTCAGTCAGTCAAAAGTACAGGTAACAATCTGGACTAGCGATTGGGAGGGTGTCCTTGGAACCTCCAGTCTGCAGCCAATTGATCAGAAGCAGAAGTGGGTGGGAAAGGAAGAAGAAGGGAAGGGGTCTTGTAGGCTGAACCCTCAGCCTGTGGAATCTGATGCTATCTCTGGTACACAGTGTTGGATCGGAGTTGAATTCTTGGGTACCCTGCTGATGTCTGAGAGTTGCTTGTTGGTGTGGAGACCCCCTCCACACACACACACACCATGTTGGAAACTGGGTCTCAGAATACCCAAAAAACACACACAGAAAATAAATTTTATCATTTTAGCCATTTTAAAGGGGCAGTTCAGGGGCATTAATATACTCACAACGTTATGCAACCATCGGCACCATCTAATTATTACTCTGATAATATCAACTTGACAATGATCAAACAAATCTGGTCACAACCAAGAAACATACTCTGGTTCATTACATTCCCTTCCAAGCCTCAACTTGCTCAAATATAAAGTGCATTTTCCCTCCTCAAGGCAATTCTTCTTCAAAACTACAGCCAAAAGGTTTTGGATTTACCACCCCACTCAAGCAAGCACTTCCCTCTCTCCTCCCTCCATGCTACTACCTACCACACCTCTCCCAACACCTAAAACACACTTCTTCACAACTCCCGCAGTGTCCAGCCCAGGACCTTCAGCCCTCACATGAGCCCTCAATTAATATGCACTTCAATACAATTTAAAATAAGTGGAAACACTTTTAAGAAGATTGTTTTAGGGGGCACCTGACAAAAATCAATGTACCCACCAATCACGAGAACAATAGTTCACATTTACTGAGTCCCTCAAACATGCCCAGCACTATTCTTCTAAAATTCTTTAAACATACAATCTAATTTTATCTATAAAACAATCCAGTGAGGCAGATCTTTATACTATGTTACCATTGGATGGATGAGGAAACACAGGCACAGAAAAAGTAACTTGTCCAAGTTCATGCAGTAAGAACAACCTTAGTTCAAACCTGAACAGTCTTGCTTCCCAGCCTGAACTTTCATCTACCATACTGATTGCTGCTGAAGAAACAACTGTCAAAACTGACTTCCAGAAAAATTAGGATTAGCTGGAGGGGGTGGAGAAGACACTGTTAAGACTATCCTTATTCTACAGCATTTTTGGACTCCATCACACTTTGCACTTGTGAAATATTGGGTATCTTACCCACAATTATGTCTACTTTTAATCTGGTAGCCCTCCATAGCCCTAACATCAAGCCCTAACACAATCTAAAGATCCTGTGACAACGTAAAGCTAACAATTTCACATTTACTACTAGCCAGATGTGAAAAAGCGCAATTAAAATGATCAGACAAGGACACAAGAATAGCATACCATCAGAAGTTCTATTCATCATGGGTGAGCCTCTGGACATGGTGTTCTGATAACTCACAGGTGTCCGCCGTGCACTGGAGTCGTCATAAATCCCCGGACTCATCTGTGCTTTGGGAGCTTCATGAAGTGTTGACCTAAGAACTGAGGTGCCAGAGCTTACCACGGATGTATGCCGGGAACGCACTTGCTCGCCCGCTTTCACATCCTCGTATTTTCCCCGTTCTATCACTTTTATGTTCTCTGGCACAATTTCCAGTGGAGGCATTCCACGAGTTAGTTTGCTAGATCCTGTGATTAAGGATTTGACATTGTGTTTGATGGCAGATTGACCTGAATTGTTGTCAAACTTTATTGGTGTACCCTAAAAGGAAAGAAACAAACATTACAGGTAGCCCAAAGCATCTGAATATTTTCCCATTTAAGGTCTATGTTTGGCTCATGGAAATTATAGTTTGCTATAGTAGTCTTTTTTCTTTTCAATTGCAGTTTACGTTCAATATTATTTTGTATTAGTTTCAGGTGTACAGCATAATGATTAGACAACCACATACCTTACAAAGTGGTCCCCTGATATTTCAAGTACCCACCTGGCACCACACATAAGTATTATAATATTGCTGCCTATATTCCATATGCTATGCTTTACATCCCTGTGACTATTTTGTAACTACCAATTTGTACTTTTTAATCCCTTCACTTTTCACCCAGTCACCCAACTCCCCTCCCCAGCTATTAACCCTGTTTCTTCTCTGTATCTGTAAGTTTGTTGTTTTGTTTGTTCCTTTATTTTATTTTTTAGATTCCACATATAAGTAAAATCATATGGTATTGGTCTGATTTATTTCACTTAGCATAATACCCTCTAGGTCCATCCATGCTGTTGCAAATGATAAGATTTCATTTTTTTAATGGCTAAGAAATATTCCATTGTATATATGTATGACTTTTTTTTTAAATTCTCATCCAAGGATCTGTTTTTATTGATTTTTAGAGAGGAAGGAAGAGAAAAAGAAAGAGAAAGATCAATGTGAAAGAAAAACATACTAAAACTTAGGTATGTGCCCTGATTGGGAATCAACCAACAACCTTTTGGAAAACAGGATGTTCCAAGTAACCGAGCCACCATTTATTAAAGGGCACTTGGGTTGCTTCATCTTGGCTATTGTATATAATATAGTTCAATGAATATAGGGGTGCACATATTCTTTCAAATTCGTGTTTAGGATTTAGTAATCTTTATTGTCTATGTGCATGTCTCGATCAAAAGCCCATGGATCCTAAGTTACATATTTTCCCACATTATACACAGCACACTATGAACACAATAAAAACTAATGATAAAGCATACATAAAACTTTCACGCTTACTTCCAAGAGACCTGACCTCAAAAGGACTACTTATTAAGTTGAACTTTTTTAAATGCTTCATAAATATTACCGTCTAAAGTGGAATGATTGGCAAAAAGAACCACAATCCAGTTACCTGAGAGATGGAACCCTCAATTATTGGCCTTGTGCTTTGGACCACTTCTGGAGTTTTCCGGCTTTCCTGAGTTAAAATATCTTGTCGTGGAATCTCGTGAATGGAACGCCCCATTTCTTTGATGGTGGTAATGCCATCATATGGTTTTCCTTTGGTAATGGCACCTTCAAATGCTCGTATGGGAGGACTCTCCCTTTTAATTTGTTTGGGATATTTAAGGCCATCTTCAAAGCTTTCAGTTGTTGATCTTGGTGTGCCTTCAAATAAGAATTCAAGAAACATACTTATTAAAACAATGCCCATGGTTGCATAAAAATGCCACTGAACTGTACACTTAATTGTTTAAATGGTAAATATTGTTACAATTTTACAATTAAAAAATATTAATGCCTTGTCATCTTGCAGTTTCTAATCAATTTTCTGTTTATAACAGATCTTTAAATATTCATCAGTCATTTTCAGGGTTGCAAAATTTCATACATCATTCATCACAATACAGACCAGAATGGTTATTACATAACCAAGATATCTCTACATTTAAAAAAAAGATTAAGTATCTAATATTTCAAAGGGGAAAATATCCTGAAAAACATGTTTCACATACTGCAAATTAATGTCAAACTAGTATGACAGTGAGGGAGTCACAACAAACAAGCAAAATGTTTACCCTGCATTATGGAACCAGAGAGCACAGTCCTTTCTTTGAGGTCAGAATGAGGGCTCCCCCTGGGCAATGCTCGGCATATCAGTCCTTCAAAACAAGACAGCAATTCAAGTATTAAACACAATGTGTATGTCAATCCACATGTACTTATACTGTCCTTAGAGTATATGTTTTTGATAAAAGCTCTATGGAGAAAGGGGTATCATTGTAAACTATGTATGGTGCCAGGTGGGCACTAGACTTATCTGGGGGATAACTTTGTAGATTATATAAATGTCAAAGTATTATGCTGCACATCTGAAACTAATATGACATTGACTATCAACTATATTGAAAAAAAGGGGGGGATATTTTAAATTTGTGAGCTATTCAGAAGCATGTCATGGAATAAAAGTTGGAAGTACCACTATTCCTTTTTAAATCTTTTCCTAATAGAAAGTGGGCACAAAAGACATCTATTAGAGGTCAAAAAGGAAAGAAAGGCACTTTCAAAGCTAAATCTAAAATCCTAATGCTTCTTTATCAAGGTGAGAGAAAATACAAAGGGAATGAAAATCATGTTAACTCTGAAATACATCTGTGAGAAAGAGAAAACATGAAAAATAGATAACTCGAAAGTATATAAAACATTAAATGAAACATGCAAATCAAAATTAAAGCATTATAAATAAGCTCTTAATAAGCTTCATGTTATATGTGTACAGGGTGGGGCAAAAATAGGTTTACAGTTGTTTATATGGAAAATAATGCAGTAATTAATAAATAATACGAGAATAAATTCTATTTCACATACAACTTTGTCCCACCTTGTATTGCTGATAAGTTGAGGGGTCCTTACCCTGTTTTTAGTATTTCATCCCGAGTAAAATTAAACAGTTGACACAGGTTAAGAGTTCAAGAAAGTGAGTCATTAAGAAAAAAAACCCAGCCCGGCCGTGGTTCCTCAGTGGTTGAGCATCAGCCTATGAATCAGGAGGTCACGGTTTGATTCCTGGTCAGGGCACATGCCCTGGTTGCGGGCCCCATCCCCAGTGTGGACCATGCAGGAGGCAGCAGATCAATGATTCTTTCCCATCACTGATGTTTCTTTCTCTCTCTCCCTCTCCCTTCATCTCTGAACTCAATAAAAATATATTTAAAACAAAACCAAACAATACTATCATTTACTGAATGCATATCATAAGATCAGCACAGGATGGATGCCTGTCTCTAACAATGGTAGGGTACAATCCCCTAACTGACAGAAGAGAAAAGAGGTTCAGAGAAGGGGAAGCTGGGATTCAAATACATGTCTTTGCTCTATCCATCACACCACTTTATCTGCCTCGCAATACAAAGTTCTCATGAATTTTACATTTTTAAATTCATTTATCTCAAACAGAAAAAAATCTACAAATTATATGAGAATTTTTATAGTCACCTACAATGTGACCAATTATGTTTAATTTTTACTTCCCTCCACTGTCATGTAGCACCTGATTTGTATGTCAATATGAATAGGAAGTTAATTTCATATTAATACAGCATCTATTTTATACAGTATACATATTAGTAATATACAACCTAACCCAAAAAATGCACATTTACTAGACCAAATTAAATGTATCTAAATGCTGTTCTGGAAACAAGATTTTACCCTCTAATGGTGCTGACACGGGAGACTCCCTCATTGACAACCCTTGCTTTATATTTCCTTCCACTGATTCATAGCTTCTTTTCAAACTGATTTCATGAGCTGTTCTTGGACTCCTTGTCCCTTCTCGGGCGTTCTTAATATCTGCAAAATATAGGAAAAAGAATTGCTCAGACAGAGCTCAAGGTCCATTGTACAGTAAGAAAGTTATTATAATTTCATAGTCTATCTTATAAATATAATAATATAAAAACTAGTCTTAACCAACAATATACATCTGTGCAAATGATATTTATAAAAATGTTTTTGGTCATTCAAATATATTTATTGAGTTCAGGATTACAGATAAGGTTAACAAATTAGGTCCCTTTGTCCATGAAACTTACTCAATAGTAGCAAATACAGATAAGTTACTAGGTAATTACTACAGAGTATAAGTAGTACTATGAAAGAGAAGTACAATGTGCTATGAGAATGCTGGAAGGGAAACCTAACACTTAAAGGTACAGGTAAGACTGACTGGAAAAAGTAATGTTTAAGCTGAGAACTGAATGACAAAAGTTGCTTAAGTCAAAAGTAAAGGGAGAGCCCTGGCTGGTGTGGTTCAGTGGTTGGAGTGTCAATCTGCACACAGAGCGTCTTGGGTTTCATTCCCGGTCAAGGGAACATACCTGGGTTGCAGGTTCCATCCCAGGCCCAGTCGGGGCGCACGCGGGAGGCAACCAATCGATGTGTCTCTCTCATATAGATGTTTCTCTCTTTCTATCTCTATCTCCTTCCCCCACTCCCTTCCTTCCATGCTCTAATAAAATAAAATAAAATCATTGGGGAAAATATCCTTGGGTGAGGATTAACAACAACAAAAGAGGTGGCACAGGCCAAGGGAACAATGAACACAAAATCCCGAGGGCAAGACAGAGTATGATACATTAAAAGAACTTAAATTCAGCCCTGGCTGGGTAGCTCAGTTGGTTAGAGCATCATCCAGATACACCAACGTTGGGGGTTCGATTTCTAATCAGGGCACATACAAGAAGCAACCAATGAATGCATAAATAAGTAGAACAACAAATCAATGTCTCTGTCTCTTCCCACTCCCTTCCTCTCTCTCTTTCTCTTAAAAAAAGGGGGGGGGGGACTTAAACTCAGTTAATGCCAATGTACAGAGTGAAGCTGGGAAGAAGAGTGCAGGGGGAGTAACTGCTAAGGGCCTAAGGCAGGGGTGGGCAAACTTTTTGACTCGAGGGCCACAATGGGTTCTTAAACTGGACCGGAGGGCCGGAACAAAAGCATGGATGGAGTGTTTGTGTGAACTAATATAAATTCAAAGTAAACATCATTACATAAAAGGGTATGGTCTTTTTTTTTTTTTTTTTAGTTTTATTCATTTCAAACAGGCCGGATCCGGCCCACGGGCTGTAGTTTGCCCACGGGTGGCCTAAGGGGAAAAGTGAGAAGGGAACCATCTGAAGAGATAAGCTGGAAGCAGATCATGGAAGGGTGATTAAGCCAAGGTAAGGGATTTATGATGACCTTAAAGGCAATGGAGAGTCCAGCAGGAAGTGACATGATGTACAGTTCTGACTATGGGTTAAAACTGAAGGCAGGGAGATCAATTAGGCAGCTACTTAGCCATCCAGATGACAGATGATGGTAACAGTGGGGAATAAAATGAAATAGACAGATTCCAGAGACTTTAGGGAAGAAAAGAGAAACAACTTTGTGACTGGTTGGTTGGATGTGGAAAGCTTTAAACGGAGGAGTCAAAGATCACGTTCAGATTTCTGTCTTAGACAAGGTACATTAACTTTCTTGCCCCAGAAACAAAATGTAAACCAATATATGCCAGAATGTTAAAGCAACAAAGGAGGAAGGAAATAAGAAAGTTACCATATACCTTGTGTCAAGCACTGTGTGCTCACATACTTTATTTCTTTATATTTGAAGAAAAAGGTAAAGCATGACTAGTGACCACTCAGGTCACAAAAACAATTGCAAATGAGAACTCAAATCTAGCTCATCACCTGGCTTTTATAAAAAGAACTGAGTCATTCTTACAAAATCATAACACTGGGAAAATATACCTTAAGAATACATCTAAAGAATTATTTTCTTATAGACATTAAAATAGTTATATTTAAGGAGAATTTAAATTCAATATTCTTCCAGGATCATCAGACTATCATCTACTCCCTAATGCTTAACTCATAAAATAGGAATCTCTTTAAAATAAATGTGGTTCTATTAAAGATAACAAAGAGCCTATTCCTAGGCTAAATCAACAAATTAGAGTTGACGTTAGCTACACTTATGTGACACTTACTATGAGGTTTGCACTGTTCATCACTTTTCATTGACTGTCTCAGTTAATTTTTCATAAACATTTCATGAGAAGGTACTATTATCAACCCCTTTTACACAGAGGAAACTTGTGCTCAGGGAAGCGAAACTGACTTCACTAAAGCAAGTATGTGGAGCATCAGAGGCCATGTTTTTAGTCACATGTTGTAGTATTGGCTTCATTGTATAGACATAATACTTACTATCATAAGATAAGATGTGTCCACTTTTGCCTTCATAAATAACATGGCCTTTGGATGCAGCTTCCTCTCTGCCTTTCTCAGGACTGGTCTCTTCAGTTATTCTAGAAATGGGCCCCTTCACCAAAGCCTCAGTTGATATGCCAGCCTGGGACAGAGCTGGGGTACCCTGCCATCAAATCAAACACAAGTACCAGAAAAGTCACTCAAGTTTAGTGGAAAGCAAGATACCTAAAATTTAATCTACCACACTGAGAGTCAAACCAACCCATATTTCCAAAGAAGAAAAAATGAGCACATGAGAGAAAATCAGACATTAAGTTTTTATAAACATAAAAAAATACTATATATCTTTATCCTTGAACACTGACACAAAAAAACCTCTTAAAATGTTGATAAATATGAGTGAACCAGCTTTCTTCAACAGTGTGAAGTTAAACCTTTATAAAGGCACTTAACTGGAGAAAGAAAAAAACTGTGTTAAAGCCTAAAATCATGCAAAATTTATTAAGTTTCTTCAAAATTTCTAATAAAAATAAGATAACAATAATAATAAAATAAAGTAAAAATAATAAAAATAAGATAATAAATTAAGTTGTAACTTTCAGAATACCACAACCTTCTCTTATAATGTGGTAAGAGGAATAAAGAACTTTCAATTCCCAAACTTCTGCTGGGTTAGACCCCTAGTCATCAGTAAGAGAAAAGGAAGAAAAATTCAGATGTCTCCATTTTGTGATATGGATTCAGTTTAGGTCTTATCATCTTTTGGGTTGCCTATGACCATGGTTTTTTTTTACCTTTCCTTTGAACAATAAACCCTTCCTCCTAGGAAAATCATTCATGAAATCTAATATGTAAAGTACTTGGCACAAGTGAAATGCTTGGGATGAAATGGAAGTGGAAGGGCCAGGCCTAGTTCACTCACACATTTTGAGTTCTCAAAATTCTAGACAGCACAATTTGAAATGACATGCTTACATCAGGAAGAATAATGAGACCAATACATTTCCTCATTTAGCCATTAAGTGAGCTCAGTAGCAAACATCTGGAAGTTCTTCATACCTACTTTGAAAGTGCCCATGTCAGACTGATTTAAAAATAAACAGATAAAGCCTAGCCTCATTTGATATAGTTCATTCTGTCTTCCTACCCACAGTTTGGATACTAGAGTGAAAATGAAGAAAAAAAATAATATGCATAGGCCATTTACTTTTCTTCTGTTTATATTAAAATATTTGCTTATTCTACAAACTAATTTCAGGGGAACATATATTTTGGTCAAATGTGAAAGGAGAGATCTGAATTGTATGCATCTTTCTAGATTACTATATGCTATCTCCTATAAACCAGCGGTTGCCAACCTTTCGGACTTCACGGACCACCAGTGGTCCAGAGACCACTGGCTGGTGACCACTGCTATAAACCATGTCTTAAGGAGGAATCACTGGGAGATCTTATTAAATGGAGTATCTGATTCAATAGGTCTAAAGTGGGGACTGAAAATTCTGCATAATTTAACAAGCTCCTAGGTGATGCTGATGCTCTGGGACACAAACCATACTTGGTCAGCAAGGTCCAAGAGCATGTGTCTCAAATGGGCATGCAGCAGAATCACCGGAGGGCTGAAAAACCCAGTTTGGCCCTAACCGGTTTGGCTCAGCGGATAGAACATCAGCCTGCGGACTCAAGGGTCCCAGGTTTGATTCCGGTCAAGGGCATGTACCTTGGTTGCGGGCATAAACCCAGTAGGGGGTGTGCAGGAGGCAGCTGATCGATGTTTCTCTCTCATCGATGTTTCTAACTCTATCCCTCTCCCTTTCTCTCTGTAAAAAATGAATAAAATATATTTTAAACAAAAACAAAAACAAACAAACAAACAAACAAACAAAACCAGTTTGCTGGGTCTCCTCCCCATGGGTGAGATTTCAGTACATCTGGGGTGGGGCCTCATTTATATGTCCAACAATTTCTCAGGAGACACTGATGCTGCTGATCTAGGGACCACACTTTAACAACCACTGTCCTAGGAAACAGGAACAAAGGACAAGGAGGAGGAATAGAACAGAAAACCTGTGACAGGTACAATGTGCAAAATACAGAACTCTGTTTATAATAATTTCCCAACATAGAATTTTCCATTCCCAGATTTATATTAATAAAGAGGCTAAGGAGTAAGAAAAATAAAAAAATAAATGAAAAAAGAGGCTAAGGAGTGTTTTACATTTCAAACTAAAATTAACATTTAAGTGAGGAAAATACTTTTTAGTACTCAAAATTGGCAATTTATTTAGCCGAAAATTAGAAGAAGATACTTGATTTTTGGTGCTTTTGTCAATGCCATCCATATTTCCTACTTTAGCATTAGATTCTAGCAAGGCAGCTTACATAGTAAGATTACAAACCTTTCAAATGAACCACAGCTTATAGTCAAAATAATCATATTAATGACTTTATGCAGACAGTTTATGGATCTGGGATTTATCATCACTGAAACCCAGTCCCAATACCCAGAACAATGAACAAGTTAATCACAAAGCTATATAGCTAGACAGCCAAAGCTCTTGAGACTTTTCCTCTAGTGTTCTCAGCATTTTAGGAATGATCGTAACTAACCTGAGTGATAGAGCCCCGTAGTGATGGGATGCTTTCCACGGAAATTTTGCTTGTTGGAGTACCCCGGGTGATACTTCCTTCTTGAGTGGCTCCTGTGGTACCTGAATAACAACAAAATCATTGGCAAATTATATCCTCTACAGCAAAGAAAACACACAAACATCACCCCATACTTGGGAGAGGGATAAGAGAAGGAAATAGCAGCACACAAAAAATTTTTTGTTTTCTTGAAATGTACTTTTAAAGTAATATTGCACTTATTACAAAGGACTGCTGAAATATTGAATTTCAAAGTTCTTAAGTCATTCTTATATGGAAAGAAAACTTAAAGTTAGTATTTAAAGGCTTTAACTTAAAAACCCACCATTAAAACATATCAATTACTTACTTTAATAAATTAATTGGGGACAAAAGTTTAATATTTCTGCCGAACAGCATATTTTTACCTCTGACCACTCCTTCATGTTGTGCCCTGACCAATAAACCCTCAGGTTGTGAGTTTTGGCTTCGGGGAGAAAATTCTTCCTGCTTGATATAGGGCACAGTAGCTATGGACCAAAGCAAAAGAAAAATGTAGAGATCAACTGCTAAGTCACTGACTATGATGCTATAAAGACAGAAACATGATGAACAGTTACTCACTGACCTGCTTTGGCAGATTCCTGTTGCCGTGGTAGTCCAAGAGAGATAGAGCCCACTGAGGGCTTAGTGGTTTCTTGAGGGTAGGAAGCCTGATTATGAGAAGTCAAATAAGTGCCAGGTGTTCCCTAAAAATAATTTTAAAAGTCCAAAATAACTGTCTTTTCACAAGGTCAAGTACAAAGTTAATGTTCACATTTCTGTTTATAAAAATTTATACCCCCAATGCCCAAATATTAAAATAGATATTTATAAAATAAGAAAATCCTTATATGGCCAAGTAATCTATGCTTACATAGTCAATTAATTAAATGTTAACTAATACAAAATTAATAAAATGGTCAAATTTTAAAATATCTACACTCACATGGTAAATTCATTTATGCTTACATGGTCAATTAAGCTGTGATGAAGGAGGTAGGAATATACAATGAGGAAAAGAGTTTCTTTCTAAATTGAGCACATACATGCAAAGAAAAAAAAGAAGCTGACTACTTTCTTACATCACATACAATAATAAACTCAAAATAAATTAGTCCTTTGTAGCCATAAGTATCTATAGACGCAAGCGGCAGACCGTCCCCACACACTACGCGCGTCTATCACTGCAAACCTTGCATATCAACTCTGGTCACCCAATTTTAAAATCAGATTTGTTAGTGACATCTCTGGGTTTGTAGAGAAAATTATGGTAACTTAAATTCGTAAATATTCCAGCACATATGGAAGAAATGGGCATGGTTTCTGTTTTGGACACGTGGCAGTTAACTGGTTAAAGACTTAAATATAAGACTGAAACCATAAAACTCCTAGAAGAAACCATAGGCAGTAAATTTTTTTTTAATTTTATTCTTAGCAATATATTTTTGAATATGTCTCCTCAGGCAAGGCAACAAAAGCAAAAATAAACAACTGGGACTATATCAAACTAAAAAGCTTTTACAGAACAAGGGAAATCAACAAAACATCAAAAAAGGCAACCTAGCTAACAGAGAATTGTCCATTCTAGAACTTCTATAACCTAGTAACAAAAAGACCAAATAAAACTTAAGACTTAAACAGTCACATCACAATCAGATGTGCAAAGAGCCAATAAGTACATCAAAAAGTGCTCAACCTCATTTGTTGCCAGAGAAATGCAAAATAAAACTACAAAAACATTACACACCCCCAAGATTACATATACCCAGCAATTCCGCTGTCAGAATTATACAAAATAAATGAAAACATATGCCTACAAAAAGCCCAGAAAAAAATGTTCCTATCTGTTGTATTCATAGTAGCCATAAACTAGAACAGTTCAGGTTTCCATCAGCAAGGAAATGGGTAACAAACTGGTATGCTCATACAATGGAGTAGTCAGCAATAAAAAGGAAGAAATTACTGATTACACAAAAACCTGGATAAATTCCTAAAACCACTATGCTAAGTTAAAGACAGACACAGTACACACTGTGTAATTCCATTTATATGAAGTTCTGGAAAAGGCAAAACTAATCTATGACAATAGAAAGCAGAACAGTGGTTGCTTCAGGCATTGGAAAAGGAGACTGCTCAGAAAAGGGCAAGAGAAAATATTCTGAAGTGACAAAATTGCTCTATAACTTTAGCATACGTAAATAGAATCTTTAAAAGTAACATTTTACTGTTGCTGACTGTGCACGACAGTAAAAACTGAGTGAGCCATTAAGATCAGACCATGTTAAAAAAAAAAAAAGATATATATTGGCCAAAGTCAGAATAAACTTAGGCTTGCCCATTATCCAAGATTTAACATGTAGAGCCTTTACAATAGTTAGTCAACAGATATTCTAGTTACTTGACAACACTCCATTTTCACTTCCATTACACTAGGCTTCAGAGCACACATGCCTTTTGTAAGTTAAACCAGACAGTGTGCCGGAGCCCACGATCTGGGCATGTAACTCACACAAACTTCCTGGGCATGGCATGGAGTACAGTGATTGCTGCATTTTCTGGTCATATATACACAGATTTTTATTTATTAGGATTTTGACAGATCAGTATGAGGAGGGAAAATTTTTACCAAAGCCATATTCACCAGGAAAAGCTACTGGGAAGAGAAGCCATTTTACCTGTGAGATGGAGCCTCCCAGTATAAAAGATGGTTTTTCTGAAGCCACTGTGGTTTTGGATGACGGGATGAGAGGAGGAGGAGGCCTAGTGGGTCGCGTTGTTGGAAGCCGAACCCCTTCAGGGAGATTAGTTATCACGTGATGTGGAGTAGGCTGGAGGACTTTTAAAAGGAAGAAAAATAATGATTTAAAATAGTCAATTTGCCAGTCTGCAACATTTTACCTATCACAGTCATTCATAATTTTTGAATCAAAAATTAGAATATAAGGGCAAGATGAAGCTGAGGACGAACATTTCTATTTTAAACCTCCCTGTCACTTTAATTAAACCTGTATACACATTCAGGTCACTAATGGTATTTATGAGGTTGAAATATTCAACTCCCCATCAAACCAGAGCTTCCAAGTAAATGTTCATTTCAAACTATTTCTGTGTAGCATATGTAGACAGAATCTTTAATAATTTTTTCTATCACTCTTTGGACCTCACAATGGAGGTGAGATAAAAGAGTGCTTCTTAGGGATAGTTGATATTACAACTTTGGAGAAGATACTGACATGACTGACAACTAATTATATAATCTCTATGCACCTCTCGTAAGTTGAGAAACATTTACTGATTCTAGCTCTCTCAGACTCTTGAATTTCTGCGATAGGTGGGGGAGAATGGAGATCTCAAGTTTTTTACGAAGTACATGTACTCTTAAGAGAAAAGCCAGTCAAATGTCACAGTATACATGTGCCAACATAAATTTCCCAGTGGTCCAGTGAATTTCAACTGAATATAACTAACTAGAGGCCTGGTGGACGGATTTGTGCACATTGAAAGGTAATTATTTTGAAGGTGTCTGGTGGGGTGGGCCTGGGCGAGAGGGGCTGGACACGCCCTGGAGCCAACCTCTGGTGGTCCCTCCTAGGCTGGCCACACCTGGGGTGGTGTCTCTGGAGTGAGCAGGGTCCCTCCGGCAGGTGAGTTCCCTTGACCTGGCTTGAAGGGATAGGGCAGAATCCGGCAGTCTGACATTCCCTGAGGGGTCCCGGATTGCAAGAGGGCACTCTGCAAAGTTGCTGTCACTCCGCAGCTCCTGCATTGAGCATCTGACCCTTGGTGGTCAGTGCACATCATAGCTACTGGTGGCTCGACTGGTTGGCTGGTCACTTAGCCTTTTATATATTAAAGGCCCAGTGCACGAAATTTGTGCACAGGGGGCAGGGGTGAGGGGGTGGCGCAGAGGAACTCTCAGCTCAGCTTGCACCCTCTCCAATCTGGGATCCCTCTCACAATCCAAGACTGCTGGCTCCCAACCGCTTGCCTGCCTATCTGCCTGCCTGATTGCCCCTAACCACTTCTGCCTGCCAGCCTGATCACCCCGTAACCACTCTCCTACCAGCCTGATCGACACCGAACTACTCCCCTGCCAGCCAGATCGCCCCCAACTACCCTCCCTTAATGGCCCGGTCACCCCCAACTGCCCTCCCCTGCAGGCCATCTTGTGGCCACATGGAGGCGGCCATCTTGTGTTGGAGTGATGGTCAATTTGCATACTGGTCATGACCAATTAGCATATCTGGTCATGACTAATTAGCATATCTGGGCTAATTAACATATCCCTCTCTTATTATATAGGAATAGATGATGGAATGCAGAAAAACAAAGTAATTTTGAAAAGGCAAGGACATACCCTGGAACAGCACTTCATTGACAAGATTAAACCACCCATGTCTAACATCAGTAGGTAGATGGCCAGTAGCCACTGTATTGAGGAACGATATTTGTTTACCTGGTGGGACACTTACAGGGAGCTGCCCTCCTACCGGGCTGTAGAGCGGCTTTACTGAACTCTCGTGGAAAGAGCCTACGGGGTGGTGCTGACCATGCTCCAGTATTGTACACACATGCTTCCCGCTCTAGAGCACGTCTGACCTCAGCATAAAGCATAGAGGCAACTGATTTTCCTATGAAAGTTAAAGTTATCAAAATAAGGGAAGAACCCCAAATTGAATAGTAAATGTGAAAGAACCAAGCCCACACCATCCAGGGCTAATGTCAACCGTATGCTAATGTCAAAGTCTAAATAAAATTCCTCCAGAGAGGTTAAGAAACCCTATAAATCTAAATCTTCTGTGTGCATACACCATCACTATGACCTAATAAAATCCTCAAAAATTCAATTACTTTTTTCCCTGTAAAAGGAAAAAAACCTTCTCTTTACTCTGATTGGGAAACAGGCAAACATCAGATTATCCAGCCATTCTGTAAATTCAAGTCTGGCCTGAATTAGAGGTCAGATATCTGAGGATTCCAAATCTTATAATTAGCCCATTTAAGCCCACTGCTTAATATGCAGAGCAATAAATGTTATAGGAAATGAAAGATGCTTTTCAAAAGGTGCAGTCAAACTAACCCAAGAAACAGGCTTATAAAATTATAAATTTTACTGCAATAATGCTAATGAAAATTACTCTACATAATTTATTTCCACATAAAGTATAAAAAAAACTTTAAGCATTTTAAGGATAGCCCTGGCCGGGTAGTTCAGTTGGTTACAGCATCACCTTGATACACTAAGGTTGCGGGTTCAATTTCCAGTCAGTGCACAGATATCAACCAATGAATGCATAAATTAAGTTGAACAGCAAATCAATGTTTCTCGCTCTCTCTCTTACCCCTTCCTCTCTAAAATCAATGAATTTAAGTTTTAAAAAAGGTAATACCAGTTAAAAAAATAAAGTTCATATCAGAGTTATATTAAGACTTAAAATATATATGTATATATTATATACAAATTTTATTAAGATGAAATCAACACATTGTAATTTTGGAAAATCAGAAAAGCACAAAGAAGAAAGTAAAATCACTCATAACCCAAATCAGTTAGGTTGTGGCATTTTAATGTCTGCCAGAATAAATTCCTTTTCATTCATTATTCTTTTGCTTACCGAGTCTTAGTCATTTATTTTTCCAGATAAGCCTAAATTCAAAGTCATTCTGAGTAGTTCCTCCCCAGAGTATCACTGGAATTTTCACTGGACTTGCATTAAATTTATGAATATATAAGACTTGACATTTTACAATGAGTTTTCAAATTAAGAAACCTATATATTTTCATATAGTTCTTAAATATCCTTTGATAAAAATTACTTATAGAGATTTTATATTTTGTTGCTAGGAAAACCATCTTCTTCATATGTGAGTTTATATAGATAGCAGAGGCCCAGTGCACAAAATTCATGTACAGGGAAGGGGGGGGCCCTCAGCCCAGCCTGCACCTTCTTGCAATCTAGGACCCCTCGGGGAATGTCCGCCTACCGTATTGTATGCAGGGATTGGGCCTAAACTGGCAGCCGAACATCCCTCTAGCAATCCGGGACTGCTGGCTCCTAACCGCTCGCCTGCCAGCCTGAATGCCCCTAACCACTCTCTTTGCCTGCCTGATCACCACTAATCACTCGCCTACCTGCCTGATTGCCCCTAACTGCCTCGGCCTGCCTGCCTGATCATCCCTAACCACTCTGCCTGCCTGCCTGAAGCCCCTAACTGCTTGCCTGCCTGCCTGATCGCCCCTAACTGCCTCTGCTTCAGCCCTCGCACCCGGGACCCAGGCTTCCCTCCTCTGGTCTGCTGCAGGCACCCGGGACCCAAGTCGGATTCATCTGAGCAGGCACCAGGACCATGGGTGGCTTCCCCGCCTCCAGGGCAGGTTCTCCTGGACCAGGCCCTGGCTTTATCCAGGACATCGTCGGACGTCCGGAAGACATCTGGTCGATCCAGTCTAATTAGCATGTTACCCTTTTATTAGTATAGATAACTGATTACTGCCAACATACAGGAAAGAAGGATGAGGATTTCTGCATATTTATTTTTTCTTAGAAACTTGAATGTTCCCTTTAGCTCTAATAACTTTTCAGTTGATTCTTTTTTTTAAAACATTCTAAGATTGTTTTTAAAAAATATGTATTTTTATTGATTTCAGAGAGGGAGAGGGAGAAATAGATAGAAACATCAATGATGGGAAGCATTGATCGGCTGCCTCCTGCATGTTCCCTACGGGGTATTGAGCCCACAACCCAGGCATGTGCCCTGACCAGAACTGAACCTGGACCCTTCAGTCCACATGCTAACACTATCCACTGAGCCAAACCAGCTAGGGCTTCAGTTGGTAGTCTTATCCTGTGAATAATAATTTGTCTTCTCCCTTCAAATAGCTAAAGCTCTTCTTTGATTCTTTTGTCGTTACTACACTATACTAAGTAATGGTGGGCATCCTGGTAGTTCCCTTCCAATAGGAATGTCTCTGGCATTTTACTGTTAATGGAAGGTTTATAATTAGTTTCAAATAGAGACTCATTAGCAAAAGGCATAAAAAGTTCTTTGGTTTACAAAGACATTTTTAAAAACCAGAAATAATTATAGTAACATTAGCTAATATTCAGTATGTACTATGTGCAGAGCACCATGCGGCACATGAATTACATCATTAGACCTTATGACCAGTGATATTATTAACACCATTTTACAGATGAGGAAACTGAGGCTCAAAGAATTACACCTAACTGTCCAAGGAAGGTCACAGGACCAGGAACTTTTCAAAAGCAATCTAAGTCCTGCTCTAACCTCTAGAGCACAGTGCACTGGTGCCTCTCTGAAGCACTCCATGTTGACTTTCAGATGCCTCTGGGGCATCCATTAGGATAGGTGTACTCTCCCTTCTTTGACATCCTATATAATAAAAGCGTAATACGCAAATTGATGGAAAAGAGGAATGACCAGTCAGCAGGGGCAGGGCCGGTGAGCAGAGGGAGAGAATGGCGATAGGGGGGAGGGGGCAGTGACCAGCAGCAGCAGAGGAACAATGTGGGGGGGAGGGGGCAGCAGCAGAGGCTAGGTGGCAAAGGTGTGGTGATGGGGGTGGCGCTGTCCCAATGCCCTGTCCTTGCCTCCCGCAGAGGGAGGCCGTGCGGCAGCAAAGGCAGGATGATGGGGGCGGTGCCGTCCCCTGATCGCCGATCCAGTCACCTCCCACAGAGGGAGGATGGGTGGAAGCGGCGGGTGATGGGGCTGTCAGTAGGACATCCCCTGAGGACTCCTGGACTGTGAGAGGGCACAGGCCGGGCTGAACGACACCTCACCACCCCCAGTGCACAAATCATCATGCACCGGGCCTCTAGTAAATAATCAGATTAGTAAGTATTCTAACACTGTGAAAAGTTAAGAAATAAACCAATTTCCAAAGAAAATCACTTCTTCCTTTCTGGAGAATTTAACATGATAGTGTATGATAAATCTTGTGTCTATTTTGCCATTTCCAGTATGTTTATAAATATACTAGAGGCCTGATGCACGAAATTTGTACAAGGGGCTCAGCCCTTGCAGCCCCTCACCGCCCCACCCGGCCCTTGCAGCCTCTTCTGGGCCTCGCAGTCCTGGCGTCATCCAGAGGGTCATCCCAACGGTCGTTCTGCTGTTCAGTCTAATTAGCACATTAGCTCTTTATTATATAGGACTAGAGGCCCGGTGTACTAATTCGTGCACGAGTGGGGTCCCCTGGCCTGGCCAATGATCGGGTCCGTCTCACCCAGTCCTGATTGGGGCCGGCCGGCCGGGGGGATGAACTGCGGGAGCTTGGCCGGCCATGGGAGGTTGGCTATGGGAGTGCACTGACCACCAGGAGGCAGCTCCTGCATTGAGCATCTGCCCCTGGTGGTCAGTGCACGTAATAGCTACTGGCTGGTCATTCAGTCATAATGGTCGCTTAGGCTTTTATATATATAGATATATGGAAAAATCCACTCTATTGCAGTAGTTCTTAAAGAAAAAGACAAAAATCAAAATTTATATGGTTTTAAATACAGCTATTTAAATCATTATGTATTCTGCCCTGACCAGTTTGGCTCAGTGGATAGAGCGTTGGCCTGCGGACTCAAGGGTCCCAGGTTCGATTCCGGTCAAGGGCATGTACCTTGGTTGCGGGCACGTCCCCAGTGGGGAGTGTGCAGGAGGCAGCGAATCGATGTTTCTCTCTCATCGATGTTTCTAACTCTATCCCTCTCCCTTCCTCTCTGTAAAAAATCAATAAAATATATTTTAAAAAATAATAAAATAAAATAAATAATTATGTATTCAGAGCCAAAAAATAAATAATGAAAACATACTACATTCGGCTGCACAAGAGTAATAACTCCTATTTCAATTAGATTTTGTTAACCAGCATTAGAATTTCAATTCTAACTCTGTCTCTACATATGTAAATTTGAGTTCCTTCACTGTATGAAAAAGGTTTCAAACTAAAGCAAGGGTCAACTTGTGTAAATGTTACTGGAAAATTAATGCAATTGTTCCCTAAATATTTTTTTCAAGCTTTCTATAGATGGAAAGGCTTTTATGCCACTTAAAAAGGGCACATCTAAAATAATTATTTGTACCACTGACTTTAAGAGAAAATGAATGTAAAGAGCTGGACAACAGGTGCTGCCTGTTACTTTCTATATTAGACCATGAAAGGAAAATCAAAACCATGGTCCTAATTCAGGTGGACTGTACCAGCCTGTTTTATACAACCAGTGATGGTTTATACATACATCACATTCTCACTGTATTTAACATTCTATAAACTACTTTATGATGTTGCATTAAAAACATTTGTGTCACACATTCCAGAAACATGCAATTGAATTGTAAATATATAAATGTTATTTGGAAGATTATCCTTTACACTGAACTGAAGGATAGCTATAAATGCAGGAGAGACTTCAGGCACTTGTTAAATAAATTACTGAATGAACATATCAGGTAGATTAATAAAAACAAAACTTAATCTTGGGATAAAATATAATCAACCATCCCAGTTTGTAGAGCATCACCTTGAACCTAATTTGTGTCATATTCATAAACATCTTGGTGTCATATTAATCAAGAATATAAGATCACTGCATTCTGATTAAAAATTAGGATATCATTCGAGTCTAAATCCCATGGATTAAAAGGTATACTGACCACAGTGAAATGCAGTTCACAGTTTGGAATCTCAGAATTTGGGGCTCTATAAGCTGGTTCAGTCTTTCATCTCCTAATATAACCTATTTTGTAAAGTAGATCAAGAAAAAATACTGAGGTCCTAAATTACATATATATATTAGAATGATTCAGATATTATTAACTGAACAATGTTAAACTTTAGCATGAATTCAGCAAATACCATTTGAATGTCATTATTTTCTAGGTTTTAATTCTTCCTCACAAAATTTATTCTAAATCATTTATGGAAGAAGTAGATCAACAAACTTTTAAATTCTTCTATACTAGAGGCCCAGCACATGAAAATTTATGCACTGGAGGGGAAGGTTCCTCAGCCCGGCCTGGCCCCTCTCATAGTCCGGGAGCCCTCAGGGGTGGGAGGCAACCCAGCGACTAGGGGAAGGCAACACCCCCATCACACCTTTGTTGCTGCCACTGCCGGCAGTGCAAGCCTCAGCCAGCCCTGGTTACCTGAGCCTTGGGCAGCCCTGGGCAGCTGGGCAGCCGCCATCTGAGGCTTGCCTGCGCCTTGGACCGGCTCTGAGTGGCTGGGGGGCTGATGGGACAGGGGACTCCAGAGGCAGGCGTGCGGAGCAGCGGTGGGCCCAACCTTGCTGCACGCCTGCCACCCCGGTGGGGCTGAGGGAACTGGGCACTGCCATTTTGTGGCTGAGGATGCCGCTATCTTTGAGGGTGTGGCGGTCAATTAGCATATTCCCTCCTTATTGGCTGTGGGTACCACCATCTTTGCTATGGAGTAAGGGTCAATTAGCATATTCCCTCTTTATTAGATAGGATAATTTATCATTATCATGACAGATTTTCTCATAATTGAAATGCTCTTAGGCTCTTCTCAATCCATTTATACTTTGCGGTTCATTTAATTAATTCCTTCAATATAATTACTGAGTAATTATTGACACATTATATCAATTACTGAATTAGAGTTTAAGAATTTTCTAGATACAATATAGTAAAAGCCCAACTTATCAATGTTTTTACCTTCATTCAAGAAATATTTGTTTAGCATCTTTACATACCCAGCCTTGGTGGGTATAATACTCTGGCTCACATTTTTACTTGCATAAGGTTTACATTTAAACACTAATAATCTCCTATTTAAAACTAACCCCTAGAGTGCTGGGGAGCGCGATTGTGCTCTTCCTGTCTTTCGCCAAAAGTGCTGGGAAGTGTCAACCAAATTCACGATCGACAATGACAGATGGAAACACACGTGTGCAATTGGCACCAGTAAGAGCTTTATATGTATTGCGCATGCACAAGTCAACTTAGCCTTTTATAGATGTAGAATATACTTATCTCCTATCTACCTACTCCAAGACTTCTGTGAGGATCAAATGAGATGAGGCATGGAAAAATGCTTCACAGACATTTGGTTAAAGTGTAAAATGTTTCCACCTGGCTACAAAGCAAGTCGTGTTCCTGGGCTGAAGAAACTCCAAGGAGGCTAGTCGCTAGGGAAAGGAAGACAGGCATTGATATGTGGCGTCATTACCCAGCGCCCACAGCCACTGTTTCTGAGCCCAGGATGGGGTCTCAGCAGCATCGGTTGCAATTTGGTGGGCTGTCGCTTCAGGGTGGTGGCGGGGCCTGTGTCCCACTTGGGGGAATTCAAGTGTTGCTTTGCAGATGCCAGGTCTGTGGTGCTGTTTCTCTGTAAATGGCCAGTGCACATCACGGCAGTTCCTGTGTTTAGTGTCTGCCCCCTGGTGGTCAGTGTGTGTCATAGCGACCGGTCAGACAGTTGGACACTTAGCATATTAGCCTTTTATATATATATACATAATATATTACTATGCAATATTATATTACATTACATTACATGTTATATATAAAATATAGCTGAGCATGTGTTATAAAACCATACTGAATATTCATTCATTTTTTAAAATATATTTTTATTGATTTCAAAGAAGAAGGAAGAGGGAGAGAGAGAAAAACATCAGTGATGAGAGAGAATCACTGATGGGCTGCCTCCTGCACACCGCACAGTGGAAATCGAGCACACAACCCAGGTATGTGCACTGACCGGGAATCAAACCATGACCTCAAGGTTCATAGGTTGATGCTCAACCACTGAGCCATGTGGGTTGGGATTAATGTTCTTTCTTTCTTACAGGTTATAATCCCATCAAGGTAGATAGAAAATTTGTACTTCACAAAGAAGAACTAAAGCTCAAAAAGGTTAAGGGATTTGGCCATGGCCACACTACTGGTAATGCTGGGGTGAGGGTTAAGTCAGGGTCTGACCGGTTCTATACACTACACAAAGTTTCAGAGAATTAGAGTATTACCCTGTCAACTGTGATTGGTTTGGAGGACAAGATTCATTCTTTGAAAACTCAGATGAAGAGCATAAAGCATGGCTTTTATACATATAAATATCAGAAAATTCAATAATACTAACATTACTTAATAATTTCACTAAAGTCAATTCATCTGCTCAGAAAAAGTATAATGTATCAATTAATATGCTAGTAAATTACAAAGCACAAAGGCCACTACCTTTGTGTATGGCTTTGTTTCCTTTCAGGCAAGTTTTGTGATGAAAGCTCTACCTACCTTCCCACTCTCTTTTCGGACTCTTGGAGGTGCCACAGGGACTTGTGGAACTTCTACATTCCAAATCAATCTGTTCCTGCCTCTGTCGCTGCTCTTCCAGGAGTGCTGACTCATGCATCGCTTTAATGTGTCGCTGGTAGAGGGCATAGCCACTCACTTGGGTTCCAATTGGCATATTACATGGGGTGCAGGACACCTACAGGAAGAAAAAAAATTAAATATGCCATGACCAACATAATAATTACCATCTGTTGCAACTAATGCTTATTTCTGTGATGTTACTGGTCAAAGTGATTTTACCATGTTTTAATTGAAATAATCTTCAAGTATAATGATTGAAATGCTAAATAGTTACTTTCAGAAATGAACACAATATAAATCACAAAAGCTGTAATAAGATAAATCAAATTAGAAATTAAAACACCCTGTCTGCTTCTAACTTATGATGGTCAAATCCTTGGTAGCTCTGCCCTGCGTCCTTACCCCTCCTCTCAATGTCCTCTTTTTACCACAGTCAGTAGGAGTACAGGGGAGTCTTCCCCAGTTGGCCAAGATGGCAACAGGAGGAAGTTCTTACACTGAGGGGCCAAACACTAGAAAGATGAACAGGCAGGGCCCCAGCAGGCCATAAAGATAGATATATGAATGGAAAGGCCCCAATGTGCCAAAAGCTAGGAAGATGAATGGAGAGAGAAAAAAAAGCCCTCCCGCTCCCTATTCCTATAAGAACAGAGGCTTGAGCAGGAAGAAAGAGAGATGATCTTAGAGACAGGGAGTCCACTGTTCTTCCAGGTTGTATGGCACCTAAATAAAACTTCTTTCCTTTTTTTTTTAAATCCTCACCTGAGGATATGTTTTTATTGATTTTGAGAGAGGAAGGGAGAGAGAGGGAAACACTGATTTGAAAAATATCCATCAGCTGCCTCCTGTATGTGCCATGCCCCAACTGGGGATTGAACCCAAAACCTAGCTATGTGCCCTAACCAGGAACCAAACCCACAATCTTTATGATATACTAGAGGCCCGGTACACGAGATTCGTGCACGGGGGTTGGGGGATCCACTCAGCCCAGCCTGCACTCTCTCTAATCCGGGACCCCTTGGGGGTTGTCCAAATGCCGGTTTAGGCCCGATCCAATTCTCGCCCCTGCCCCCTGCCAGCCTGGTCACACACAACTGTCCCCTCACCCCCGCCAGCCTGGTCGCCCCCAACTGCCCCCCTGTCGGCGTGGTCGCCCCACGCAGCCCTCTGTTCAGTCGCTTGGGTGTGGCTCACTAAACCCCTGCTGGCCTGTTCGCCCCACACAGCCTGCTGCTCAGTCATTTGGTCATCCCTCACTAACCCCCACTTTCGGCCTGGTCACCCCACACAGCCTGTTCGGTCATCTGTTCAGTTATTTCGGTTGCGATGGTCGCTTAGGTTTTTATGTATATAGATAGGACTCCACTCAACCAACTGAGCAACCCTGCCGAGTAAAACCTCTTTCCTTTTGCTCTAGCACCTGCCTCACAAGTTTGGCTTTCATTGCAGTAGGCAGCCAAACCTCCGTTTTTGTTTTTGTTGAGTTACTTTTTGAGGACTCCGCTGGGAATAGCATGGAGCTCAGCAAGTCCTGGTGGACTCGGGTGGGGTCCCAGCAGTCTGTGGCAGGCTGGCCCAGGGACAGTGGGACTGTGGGGACTTCCGGGCAGCTGCCAAGAGCTTGTCCCAGGGAATTTGCCTGCACTCCTTCTCTAGGTGTCAGCCACCTGAAATGCTTCGCTGGTGAAAGGAAACGGGTTTTTGGGGAGAAGAACCCCAAGACTGCACACCAGGGATCCTCTATCCCTGCCACGCAGGCTTCATGCTGCTCGGGCTTTGTGTCGCTTGGGTCCTGTTAGGATCATTTGCGGTACCTGTTGGCAGGCTACCCCTGTCGCTTGGGCTTCATGCCACTTGGGTCCTGCTAGCACTGCTGTGGTACCAGCTGGCAGGAGATAAGACATTAAGAGGTGCTTGTGAGAACTCATTTGGAATAATGGAATTATGGATCCAATTTTTGTTTATATGTTCTCACTTTGTCTGGGGTCTTGCTATGGTTATGGTTTTGGGTTTGTACTTTTGTGCTGCTGGGTGTTCTGTTTCAACTCCTGAAGGGAGCCCACTGGCCCGAATTTTAGAAGATTGGTCCTTGTACAGCTATGGTCTAGTGACTAAGAAGGAATTGGTTTTCTACTGTAACGCTACTTGGCCTATGTACTAGGTGTACTGATTAATAATGTGGATTAAAAAAAAATAATGTGGATTTTGTAATCAAAGAAAACATGATAATTTCAAGAGAAACATCAAAAGTGCTTCTTTACTCAAAGTGATGTCCATCACTAGCTACACATTTCCCCCATCTTTCAGGTAATTTGTGGATACCATCCCAATAGAACTTGTCTTGTTTTGCGGCACACCATTCAGAGATCCAATTTTCCACATCTTTGTATGTTTTGAAGTGCTGCTCAGAAAGTGTGTGTGCCATCGATCGGAACAAGTGGTCATCTGAAGGAGCAAGGTCTGGTGAATACGGTGGGTGTGTTAATACTTCCCAGGCAAGAACTTTTCACATGTCTTTACTGGTTTTGAAGTGTGTGATAGTGCATCATCATGAAGCAAAATTACTTTGCCATGTAATCTGGAACATTCTGGTCATTCACGATCAAAGCGTGGTTGAAATTGATTATTTGTTGTCCATATTGATCAGTTGTGGTTTTCTTGTTGAATCAATGTGGCCTTGCAGTTGCTGTTGATGGTTGACCTGGATCAACCCATGATTTTGCACGTTTGGGATTCTCAAAACAAATCCACTTTTCAAAGAACATTCGGTTGACCTGGACGTTCTTTGTCTTTCACATCGAAATCATCACTTTTAAAGCAGCGTTCACAAATATCTTGAGATGGAGCATGTTTACCATAAGCTTCCCGAAGTATTTCATCAGCACTTTTCTTCAAAATAATGAATTAAAACTTCCTGCAAATGGTCTTTTTTTGGCACGAAATTCGACATTTTTAAGCGTAAAAATATCTATGATGTCAACACCTTCAGAAAATTTAACATATGAAGTTTTGAAGCTTATCAATACAACAAAATAGGATACATATTAAATTGCATATATATCAACATATGTGTAACTCCATCTATTGAAACAAATCTGCATTATTAACTGCTATATCTAGTATACTTTATACTACAGGGGAAAAATAGGTTCCCTAAATTACTACTCCATCATACAGTTGGAATTATTTTGCCAATGGTTAGGGAAATGAAATGAAATCCCTTATGTCCAGGTGTCCATATTTTTATAGGATACAGATTCGGCAAAGAAAGGGAACAACTTAATGATACAGAGAAGGGAACTGGCTCCAAAACCCCCTCCAACAGAAAGACACAAGAAGACAAGGAGAATGAGGAAATGAGTCTCTAACGCCCAGCCACCGAGGGACCCAGGGTTAGCAGCAGGAGGACTTCCCCCACCATCACCCCTGCTGCTGATGCCCCTGAGATAGGGCCAGAGGGGGGGGGCAGCCCCACCCCGTATGATGAAGGAATGGTCTCCCCTCAATGACCTGGTAGGGCACCCAATTTGGCCAGGGAGCATCCCTACCCGGAGCAGGACAATTCCCTTTGAGGCAACACCATATAAGCAGAATAAACCAGAAAGGCCCACCTGCTGGCTTCCTTTAGGCCCACACTCCATTTCTACTTTGGATTTAATGAACTGGAAGAATTCCAACACCTCATACAGGGAGGATCCTCAGAAAATGGCATATTTATCACCTCCACTTTTGCCATTCACCACCCAAATGTCTGGATGATAAATGTGACTTTTATTGGGCAAAGTGCCTGCAGATCAGAAGGAAGCTCAAACATTTAGACAGGGTGTTGGGAATGAATCCCTCCCAGCTGGTGGACAGAGCCTTTCAATCTTACCATGCCCGGGAAACAAGGACAATGAGGCAGGCCACTGGGCAGATGGCTAGGCTCTCCTTAACATCCTAACTGACGAAAGGTGACTGGTTATAAATAAGGCTAATGGAGAAGCTCATCGCCTCCATAGGAGAATCTCAATGGGATCCCCCACCCAGCCAGGGTGAATCCCTTGACAGAGTCCAACTGGGACCTGAACAGCAAGGACCTAGCCTCGCTAGAACATTATAGAAAGTGCATATAGGACAGGCTTAAGAAAGGGGTGCCTGGACAAAAGGGCCTGAATGTGATATGCACTGTTTAACAGAGACCAAATGCAGATCCTTCTGAATTTTTAGAAAGGATCTATCAGGCCTATCAAAAGCACTCGGATGCTGACCCAGAAAATGTCCGGATGATAAATGTGACTTTTATTGGGCAAAGTGCCTTCAGATCAGAAGGAAGCTCAAACATTTAGATGGGGTGTTAGGAATGAATCCCTCCCAGCTGGTGGACAGAGACTTTCAAGCTTACCATGCCCAGGAAACAAGGACACTGAAGCAGGCCACTGTTTTCTTAGAAACAGTGCGGGAAACCAGGAGAGGTGGGATCCGAAAAGAAAAGGGAAAGACCCACAAGGTGCCAATTAATGTGCCTATTGCAAAAAGGCCATTGGAGAAAGCACTGCCTTGGAACCCCAAAAGAAAAACAAAAAGGATGGAAACCCTTGCCAAGAAATGTTAGAAAGGAATGACGAATCTGGAGGACCAAGGGCTCCCCTAGACACCTCCTGACCTATTATTATTTCCCCACAGGAGCCCCAGGGAACAAGCTAATTGACTTCCTTGTAGATACGGGAAACTAACCAAGAAAAATTCAGCTGTGGTGTTGGTTACTGGAGTGACCGGACATTACAAAAACAGGCGTTCTTTCAACCTCCAGAATGCCAGCTTGGGGATTAAAAGCTTACGCATAGTTTTCTCTACATGCCAGACTGCCCCATTGGTTGTTGGGCTGAGATTTAGTTTGTAAATTGCATGCACAAATAACTTTTCACCTGAGAAGTAGCAATTATGTATGGGAGTCCCATCAGAACATGCTCTCCAGCTCCAGGTAATACTGGAAGGAGACGAAGGTGACTCTTCCCACCCGAGATCCACGAGCAGGTTGACTGAGCCTTTGGGCCGACAGAACCCTAAGTAGGGCAGTTAATATCCAACCTGTAAAATTAACCTAAAAGGAGCATGGATTCCATGGGAGAAACA